AATACTTGCCTTTTTTTTTTTTTTTTTTAATTTAAAAGATGACCAGTAAGGGGATTTTAACCCTTGACTTTGTGCTGTCAGCACCATGCTCTCCCAAGTGAGCTAACCGGCCATCCCTACATGGGATCCAAACCCGTGGCCTTGGTGTTATCAGCGCCACACTCTCCAGAGTGAGCCACGGGCAGCCCCAAGGACTTGCGTTTATTACTGTTTTTTTTCCCCTAAAATTTGTAGATATTCTTGTGTACTTTCGCTTCTAGATGAATTGGAGAATCAGTTTGTCAAGTTTCATTAAAATCCTATTGAAATTTTGACAGGGATTACATTAAAATTAAAAACTAATATGGAGAAAATCTATCCTTAAAATTTGAATCTTCCCGTCAAGAAATATATTGCTCCCTTTACCTAGGCTTTCTTTTATAATCTTTAGTTTAAAAAGAATTGTTGAATTCACATATGCCTTGACCATTGGCTATTCTTAGATATTATTTATTTTTTGTTAATATCGGAAAGAGGGTTGTTATTACAATTTTTTTTGAAACATAATTGATTGTATACATGTGTGGGGTACAGCATTGAATAGGAATACCTGTGTGCAATATGTGATGCTCAAATCAGGATAATTAGTATATTCGACATTACACAAAATAACCATATTTTGTGGCCCTTTTACCAATTTCTTGCTTGTTATTACAATTTCTGATTGTTGCTGGTGTAGAGAAAAGCTGCTGATTTTGGTGCATTGGTATTGTATCCATTTACCTTAACATTGATAGTATTTAAGCCTTCCATTTACAAAAATTAAACTTACATTCTTTTCAGGAAACACACACACACACACATCAGAAAGGGCTGGCTGGGTGCTCGCTTCGGCAGCACATATACTAAAAATTGGAACGATACAGAGAAGATTAGCATGGCCCCTGCGCAAGGATGACACGCAGAAAGGGCTGGCTGGTTAGCTCAGTTGGTTAGAGCACAGTGTTAAAACACCAAGATCAAGGGTTTGTTAGATCCCCTTATTGGCTACCCAGCAAAAAAAGGAAGAGAAAAAAAGAATCAGGAAGGAAACACATTTTGCTTAATATTAGGTATAAACACTCCTCAAAACTTAAATCCTAGGGTAGCTTATTGAAGCATTTTTTATTTCTCTACACACAAAGAAATTACCAAATGATGTGATATGTGAACTTCAATGGAGAAGATTCTTAAGATATACTCAAAATAGAATGTAATTAATGAAAGAAACCTAGTCTTATTACTCAATGTTTTAAAATTGGCTTAAGTTACCTATGATCATTAATGATATACAGTTTGAGCATCCCTAATCTGAAAATCTGAAATCTGAAATGTTCCAAAATCTAAAACTACTTTTTTTTTTCTTTTTTTGGCAGCTGGCGGGTTCGAGGATCTGAACTCTTGACCTCGGTGTTTAAAATTTTTTGAATACCAACATGAGGCCACATTAAGTACTGTATACTGGGGGAAACATTTTAAAAAGCCATCCAGCAGAATGCTTCCTCATCCCTAGAGGACTCACTTCTCGGTCCCTCATCTGCTTCTGATGTTTCTTCTCGCCTAAAAAAAAAACAGTGTACAGTAACCTTTTAATTAAAACACAGCATCACAGGATGAGGACTGAAAGTCTGCTGTTGTTTGTTGATGCTGTTGTTTAACAGCTGATATGGGTATTCTGGGGATGCTGCTGTGCTGCTTAGTTACCCTGAATAGCATCACAGGATGAGGACTGAAAGTCTGCTGTTGTTTGTTGATGTTGTTGTTTAACAGCTGATATGGGTATTCTGGGGATGCTGCTGTGCTGCTTAGTTACCCTGAACACACTATCTTTGTATCAATGATATGTCATGTGTTTTACTGTTAAGTACTTATATGTGAATAAATGTAAGAAAATCATTGTTTATTGGTGGCATATAAATTCAGAATCAGAATGGTGATGCCATATAACTGCATATTGCCTATATGAGTGGCTTTGATAGTGATATATTTGCTTTCTTTTTTTTTTTTTAAAAGATAACCAGTAAGGGGATCTTAATCCTTGGCTTGGTGTTGTCAGCACCACGCTCAGCCAGTGAGCCAACCGGCCATCCCTATATAGGATCCGAACCCATGGCCTTGGTGTTATGAGCACCGCACTCTCCCGAGTGAGCCACGGGCCGGCCCTGTGATACATTTGCTTTCTGATGGCTCACTGTACACAAACTGTGTTTCATGCACAAAATTATTTAAAATGTTGCATAAAATTACCTTCAGGCTATGTGTAAACGGTGTATATGGATCATAAATGAATTTTATGTTTAGATTTGGGTCCCATCCCCAAGATATCTCATTATGTATATGCAAATATTGTAAAATCCAAAAAAATCCAAAATTGGAAACACTTCTGATCCCAAGCATTTTGGATAAGGGCTAATCAATCTATACAAATATAAAGTAGCTACATTATAGCCAGAAGCGTAACTTATTATAGTTATATTTCATATATAGTAGTTTAGTGGGTTTCTCCTGGAAATGCTCATCTAAGTTTTTATTTTAAATCTGTTGAATTTTCTGGTAGAAGTGAAGGCAAATCCAAGACGACACTGAAAGTGTCTTTTCAGGATTTATGTTGTATCGTCTAACCACAGCGGATTACTTGCCATTATAAATATGTCACACACTTTCATCCTTCTCTTGTGAGCCTGCATTTTTTCCTACCTATCAAGCCCAGTTCTTCCATTTTTCAAGGTCTAGTTTAAGTGTACCCTTCTCCACAAGACCTTCCTTCATTTACCCCCAGTCACTAGGTTGTGAATTGAGAGTAGGCATTTTACCTTTACCACATTTACCACTAGCATTTACCTCAATCCTGGGCAGACAAAAAGCACTGAATAAATAATTCGTAAATGAATAATAAGAACTGATTGCTTCTTCCTCTACATTCCACATCTTATTCTCTATATAACACTATTTCTGCCTTGAATTATATATGATTTTATTATAGCATATAGTTTGTCTATCTTCCTCCTCTGATTAAATTCTGGAGAACAGAAAATGCATCTGATTCCTCCCTCAGCACCTAACACACAGAATAGAAATTTGATAATTGGATCAAGTATATAAAATCTTTTTTTTTTTTTTTGGCAGCTGGCAGATATAGGGATCTAATCCTGGACCTGGTTGTTATCAGCACCACGTTCTAACCGAGCTAACCGACCAGTACCTGACTCATCGTATCTTAGAGAGGTAAAGCTATACTGAATAAATTTCAGGGAAGATGGGGGGGAGGGTAGGGGGGACTTTAAAAGCATTAACCTGGTGTTACATTATTTGAGATTTAGCGCAAGAAGATTAACTCGCTGGCACCACCTAGTATTCAATAAAGGCGGTGCACTTTTTGCGGCAACTATAGAAATGACTCTCCGATACTGGAATCTGAGTGGAAGTTACTCATTCATGCTCACCTCTCTCTTAGCACTCTGAACTCCGCACAGTGCTGACCGGTCTCAAGTTGCATAAACCACCAATTATTGAAGTTCCGAGTGTCATAAACTTGAGAAAAGCGAAATTATTCATCAGTACAAGAGGCTCGAAGCTCAAATTACCTGGGGGGAGTGGAGTTGGCTAGGAAAGGGAAACCATTAATAATTTCATTAACAAATGGTTTTATTTGCTGTATATGAACTTGGCCTAAAGCAGTCCAGATAACTTCCACGTGAGCAGCCTGCAATTGGAACACACCCCTTTCTTTCTAGGAAGACATCACGGGATTGGGCGCTTTCTGCCTCGACTGCGCGTCCCGCAGTCTTTCTGAGGATTTCCCTAGTGAGGCCGCGGGGGTCACTGAGGAAAACCCCGCGCCCGGGCCCGCCTTGAGGGAAGCTGTTAAACCCAGAAGCACGGAAAACCCTTTTCCCGGCTGGAAGTGAGCAGCTTTTGGCCCACGACCATCGGGACGGGGGGGAGGCAGCAGCTCCAGACAAGGCCGCAAATCCTATCTCCACGGGGAACTTGACGCTCCCGCACTGAGGTCCCGCAGCGGCCGGGCTCGACCAGGCCCCGGTTGCCACCAGAAGTCTCCGTGAACCCGCCGCCCCCGAAACGCCTTCCGGCCCTCCTTGGCCAGAACCGGGGTAACCTGCTCAGTGCCCCCCGGGGTCCCGTCTCTGCCTCCCGCCAGCCCCCGGGTACCGGAGTTCGGAGCCAGGGGCCCCGCCTACCTGAGGGCCCCGGCCCGGCGAACCGCGCGAGAGGAGCACTTCCGTCGCACGCACGCACGCACTTCCGGCCTCCTGGAACCAACGAGGGTGCGGCCGCCGGTGTTCCTTCGCTGGCCTCCGGGCTGCGGGTGGGCTTGGGGAGCGCTGCGGCCGGTCGGCGGTGAGGGTGTGGTAAGCTTCCCACTTGCAGCCCCTGAGAAACCGGTCCCTGCGGGAGGCAGCCAGGAACCCATCTTGTCACAGGCAAAGGGGAGTTCCGTATTTAGGGTCGAATACAACGGGCCCCGAGGCAAGGTCATATTCAAGTTTGAGGCAGGAATATTGCCTTTCGTGGAACCGAAAACCTCTGCGAGTTTGCCTCTGACCTTAGGAAGGGGTGAATTCACCCTGGGGGCAAATCCTTTCCTAGATGAGTCTTGAGGGCTGGCACCCTGGCACTGGGCGCGGGGTGGGTGGCGGGCGGAGGAGGAAGTCCTCCATTCTGGACTACCTCCCTTTCCTCCTAAATCTTTCCGTGTCTGCAAAACACTAGACCCACTTTCCTGGAAGCAGTTCGACACTCATACCCCTTGAGAAGGAGGCAGTTAGCTGTGGGGCAGCACTTTAAAAGTTACCCGGAAAATGCCATAAACCCTGATGTCCTGTATACTACTGACTTATCCATCTCCCTTATGTACACAGGGTTGCAAAATTGTTTCAAAAGTGTGGTCTTTAAAGTTAGTTATGTTTCATTCGTCAGGACAAACTTCCAACTTTGATTACCGTAGAACTCTACCAGGATGAATTGTTTCTGTTAGTTTTGCCTGATGGTAGAATTCCTTATTACCTTCAATCGTTTTTCAGAGTTACAATTTGGATATGAAATCACTTTTCTAGCCCACCTCAGAGAAGACTGTTGACACACTAGTTGGCATGGTTCCAATAGCCTACCTTGCAAAACGCTTCAGATTCGAAGAATTTCCTGTGTAAAAGTAAGTGCCTGTTGTGTTAATGCGATTATCTTTAATTTGTGATATGTGAGTATGTGTGGAAGTGTCAGCGTTTTGGGTAAAATGGAACTCAGTGACAAATAAGGTCAGTGCTGTTAAAAAGAAAAACTTTAGAGAGAGAACTGGGTTACTAGAGGCAGGAAAGGGGAGGGGGGAAGTGAGAGCTAGTTAATGGGTACAGATTACAGCTAGATAGAAAAAATAAGTTCTATCGGTGTACAGTCAGTCCAGGAATCTATAATTAACAATGATTTACTGCATGTTATCAAACGACTAGAAGACAGATGTTCACATCACAAAGAAATGATTAAATTTTGCAATGATGAATATGCTAATTACCCTAATTAGAACACACATTATATATGTGTATTGAAATATAATTATACCCCATAAATATGCACAACCAATATATTTCAATAAAAAATTAATTTTAAAAAAAGTCATTGGGCTAAAACAAAAAACTTTAGACAAATTAAATTTAACAGAGTTTAACTGAGCAAAGAACAATTCACGAATTGGGCAACTGCCAGAATAGGTTCACAGCAACTCCCAAGTTTACTGCATGTTGGGGTAAGACTTATAGCCAGAAAAAGGTACAGAGACAGCTGAATTAGTTACAGCTGGGCGTTTTGCCTTATTTGAACATGGTTTGAACATTTGGCTGCCTGTAATAGGCTGAGACTCCTTTACTTGTTACAGGAGTAGGATATGGTTTGTTTGCACATCAACCGAAATTATGAGGTAGATTACAGTCTGTTTACACATTAAGTTAGGTTATAGTACACTATGTGAAGAAACCTTTAGACCAAACTTAATTTAACAGTGCCAAATAAAACTCGAAAATATACTTCCTTTTCTACCATTTGAAGAATTTGCTGAATAAAGACTTGCTCAAAATGTATTTTTCCTAATTTTGATGATAATATATTATCCTGTTCAGACATTCATGCTGGTTTTGGTGCATGCAGTTGTAGAAGCTATGGAGGAAAGGCCTTACCATACAGGCATTGTATTTGCCTGCTTCTCTTTTTCAGTAACTTAGTCTGATTCAGGTTCTATGCTGAAGATATTCTTATATACCTTTGGGGGTTTTGTTCGTTTTTTGGCAGCTGGCTGGTAATTGGCTTCTTGTTTAGAGTTAATAGATAATGAAAACATATACTTAGTGCATAAGTAAAAAAAATTTGTTAGGGTTCCAGTTTTAAAACAAAAATAGAATCCAAGCCTTTAGATGGGAGGCAGAGAAGAAATTGGAGAAAGAGGAATGGTGTGTTAGGTAGGTAGTTACAGGAGACAGCACTGGGAAAGGTAACTTTATAACTGGGAGTCATAACTGGTAAACCAGATAAATGCTACTTGGCAGCTGCAGGAGTTTAGGACACTTCAGCTTGAACTTGGACTGGGAGCCTGGAGAATGCAAGTTGCTCCAACTAGGGAGGGAAAATGCCAGGGCAGATGAAACTTGAGTGGCTAACGAGCACCGTGAGCGAAAGGCTCTCTGAACACTTGGACCTCTTTTAAGTGTCTACCAGCAGATAACTTATACCATTGTAAGTATTGCGTAATAGGTAAGAGCATGAACTTTCAGAATCTAGGACGTTACTCTAGCTGTGAGATCCTGAGCAAGTTAGTAAATCTCTCTAAGCTTCAGTTTCCTCATCTGTAAGGCAAAAAAAAGGGATGATAATATCACCTACCTCATTGCTGTAAGGTTGCTGTAAGGATCACATGAATGCTTAGTATATTGCTCCCCACATAGGAAGAACTCAGTGAATATCATCATCATCATTATGTAAAATAAGCATAATTGGATATATATTCACAAGGAACAGGCCCATCCAAGGAGAATGAGTAGGTGTATTGCCATTCAATGAGAGGCATGGGAAGTCAAATGAGGATTTCATAAGCAGGAACCATGAGGCTTTCTGCCCTTCAATTGTCAACTTTCCACCCCCACCTCAGCCCCAGGCAACGACCGGTCTGCCTTCTGTCATTTTAGAGTAAATTAGTTGTCTAGAATTCCAAATAATTAGAATCATACAGTGTGTACGTTTTTGTATCTGGCTCCTTTCACTCAAAATGCCTGTGAGATTAATCCATGTTACTTGTATCAGTAGTTTGTTTTTGTTCCTTTTTATTGCTCAGTAGTATTCCATTATATGCATATACCAAATTTACTTCATTCATTCATCTCTTGATTAACATTTGAGTTGTTTCCAGTTTTTGGTTATTATGCACAAAGCCAAACTGTATAATTCCTTGTGTGGACATATGCTTTCATTACTCCCCATTATTTTTAAGCTCTTGTTATCATTTATATTTAAAATCCTTTCTCTGTGGCCCCCTTGAGAAGCTTCCTCCATCAATTATTCACTTTCTTGCAGCTTCTGTGTCTTCCTAATGGTGCTTTCCCCTCAACCTACCACCATTCTAATTCTCTACTATTCTAAACAAAAAATCAAATCAAATAAAAAACCTTCTCTTAATTGTGATATCCCATTGAAGGTAGTGTTTGATATCTGTGGTTAATCAGTGCCTGGTTCTAGTCTCTCTGTGTCTACCTACCTGCTGGATCTCTCTACTTGGATGTACTGTGTGTACCTCAAATTCAACACCCATAAAACAGTAGTGTTTCTCTTTATGCCATCCCTCCACACCTCCTAACTTGAGCTTCCTCTAATCCTCTCTGACTAGTGGCACATCATCCACTCAGTCGCTCAAGTCAGAAATCTTATTTTCCTTCCTCTTCCTTCCCTCCTTTATTCAGTCAACTGGTCAACTTGTAAACCCTTGACATCGTCCCTCTTGTTATTACCCTTTGTTGTCTCTCATCTGGACTGTTGGAGTGCTCTAAAGCAGTGCTTTGAAAACTTGAAGATACATATGAATCACCTGGGGATCTTGTTAAAATGCAGATTTTGATGTAATAGGTATAGGGTAGGGCCTGAGATTCTGCATTTCTAACCAGCTTCCAGGTGATGCGCATACTGCTGGTCCACTCTGTCTTCACTCACTCTCCTGGCAGGGTCATTCAGTCTCATGGCTTTAAATACCATCTGTTATGGACTGAATGATAAGTATGAGCTAGTTATTTACAAATGCTCCAATGTTTGTGTCCCTTCAAAATTCATATGTTGAAGCCCTACCCCTGAATATGGCTGTATCTGGAATAAGGAAGTAATTAAGGTGAAATGAGGTCATAAGGTGGGGCCCTGATCCAATAGGATTAGTGTCCTTATAAGAAGAGACAACAGATCTGCCCCTCCACCTAGCCTCCCAACCCTTACTGGAAAGGCCATCTGAGGACAGAGCAAGAAGGCAGCCATCTACAAGATGGGAAGAATCCTCAGCAGAGATCCAATCGCCCAAATCCTTGATCTTGGACTTCTAGCCTCCAGAACTGTGAGAAAATAGATTTCTGTTGTTTAAGCCACCCAGTCTATACTATTTTGTTAGGACAGCCCAAGCTGTCCATATATATGCAGATGACTCCCAAGTTTGTAGTAAATCTCTAGTCTGGACCTCTACCCCGAGTTGGCTCTGTTCTCTATTTACCTACTTAACATCACTACTTGGATATCTAATAGACATCCCAGATTTAACTTCTCTGTAAACTGAACTCCTGATCTTCTCCTCTAAACCTACTCATGGTTATCTTTTTTTATTTCCTCAAAGGCAGTGCTATTTTTTTAGTTGCTTAGGCCAAAATTTTGGAGTCATCCTTGACTCCTTTTATGACCCACATTCCATCCATAAGCAAATCACATTGGCTCTACATTCATAATATATCCAGAATCTAATGACTTCTCACCACTCCGCTGCAACCACCCTTGTCCAAGTCAGCATCAACTCTCACCTGGATATTTTCAGTAGCCTCCTGTCTGGTCTCCTTCCATACACCCTTGTTTCCTCCCACATTCTGTTCTCAACTTCAATAGCCAGAGAGATCCTTAAAAAATATGAGTCAGGTCATGTCATACCTCTGCTCAGAGCCCTGCAGTGGTTTCCTCTTACCTCTCTGACTGTATCTGGTACTCCTCCTCCGTCAGTTAATCTGTCCCAGCCGTTCTGGTCTTTTCTCTGCTCCTGTAAAATGACAGGTGTATATTTGCCTCAGGACTTTGGTACTATTACCTTTGCTTAGAACATTCATCCTTATGTTATAGTATCTTCCATATAATAGAAAATTATTTGAAATAGCAGGGATGGCCAGTTAGCTCATTTGGTTAGAGCCTGGTGTTGTAACTCCAAGGTCAAGGGTTCAGATCCCTGTACCTTAAAAAAAAAAAAAAAAAAAAAAAA